TTAGATGAACTTGATGGTGTTACCGCTGTGCCATTATCTCGGGGTAAAACAAACGAACGGCTGGACTCCATGGGGATACAGGAAGCTGCAGAGGTCGAAGAGGGAGAGGGAACAGAGAAGTGGGTCAAGAGGCCTGGGTTCAAGGATACCACAGTGTTGATCATAGGCTGAAGAGGAGTCTGATGATGAACGGTCAAATCTGTTCGTTTAACGCCCGAATTGAATGAGGCCAGTCCGAATGGTCGCGCAGTAGAATTTAACTGTCTGGATGATGTAACCACTTCGTTGGGTGGATTGGACCAGAATGCAGATGTCATAGGGGAAACAGTAGTCGATTGGGTGGTTGATCTATTCTGCAATTTCGCAGACTGCAGAAGCAACTGAATTTTGGACCATAATTCTGAGGCCAGGGCTGGATTATTTATGAACGACATTTGGGATTTGGATGGTGGTTGGGTGGGATTGGTATTGGACGTAGATGTGACCGGATTCGTCGTATGGTCGGATGTGGAAGACTGCTGAGTTAGGTTGATTCCACCGGACGATATCGTCGACGAATCAATAAAGAAGAGGGGGCAAGTAAGAGGACACCGTCATGTAAACAAGTCAATAGGCTACTCAAAACTATTGGTATATAAAATAGTAAGTTTGCGGAAAATTCATTGGCATGTTTATCAAAAGTGAACTAACAATAATAGTACAGTGTTTCGAATGATAAGTATAGGAAGATAGCAAAAAATGAAAGTAACAATAATTAAAATGATATCCCAAACCTTTATTCTTTGTTTGTACAGCCAGGAAAGAGAGCTGCGATCAATAAAAACTGTTTTTGTTATTGTTGTTGTTGTTGATGGTGGTGGTGGTGGTGGTTGCGGTGGTGGTGACAATTTAAAGCACCACATTCTTTGCATACATTGGATCTGTTTTATTCTGCACGAGGTTGTGTTGGCGATGGTGATCGTTACCACTCGATCACATGACCTATGTCATACCGAAGAGTTGAACCCACTTGTACTGAATAAACGTATATTATGTGAAGATATCTCTCCACTCGATATATATCCAACCGACTGCTGCTGATGGACACGGGTAAAAGATCCTGTATTGAAATTCTACTTGCACTACCATCATCACCACAGCTTCATTTTCCCAAGTTCATTTTTTCTTCGTAGTCTCTAGTTGATTGCTACCCTGTACCTAATCAATGACCATATATTTTTGTGTACATTTCATGTGAAAAGCATTCTGATAGCTGGACTGTTATTTCCTTTCTTTGAAATGAAAAACCCAAACAATGGCATGTAGTAGTGCAAGCAGCACTACTAACTGGATATGCTGTAGCCGTCGATTCTTGCGTTTTAGCCGCGGGCAGATGTGAGTGATTTAATGTCCTTCTCAGTTTCCCACTCGCGGTACTTGTCCGAAGGGATTCATTCACTCGCTCACTCGCTCACTTACTGTGTCTCTACTTTTTTGTCCCTCCTTGTTGTTGGCGTCGTCGTTCACGTTTTTCCTTCACGACTAGGGTTGGATCGGATAGGTGCTTATACTGTATAGGGATTTTTTAAAGCTTCAGCCAGTTATGTACAAGATTTCAGCCAAAATGAGTCCACCGTCAAGGTGGAGCAAAATGCACACTTAATTGCTAAATGAATTAGAAAGCTCAAAAAAAAACACTCCTTGATGGTCAGTGTCCGGAAAAGATAGAGTACCGACCGATGTGTTCCTGCAGACGGATATCCGAGCTGGGATGAGCTTGGATTTGGAACGGTTGGAGGGCTGGGATTTGTATGCGCACAGATCAATGCGTAAAGGATGGGCGCTGTCAGATAGCATATTGTCAGCAAAGTTCAAGCATGAATCAATATGAACATCACAGATATTGTCTATCGGAACAGATAAATGGAACTTGCAAAACACTGCTGTTGAGAGGTCACGCCTCAGTGGCTTGAAATCAACCTTCAGCGAATGAGGAAAAATCACAGGAGAGCAGTAAAAAGCGGTATAGAGAGAACACATTGTTGAACAAAAGTTCCTATCACCGACTAATCAGAACAGATGTGGCTGTTCGTATGTCAGACTGAGGTATACTAATAATCGGTTTGCCTAACTAACCCGCGAATGCAGAGGCTATTCGAGGAGTTTATATGTTCCGCGAAAATACAAAACACAATACAATACAAAGCCCTCCTGGATGATCTACGTGTCGCTGTGTTACCATGTTTGGCCCGCATTTTGCATCTCCAGGAGGACGTCGTTAGTACCGTCATCCGTGCGATCGATCTTCGGCCACAGTAGTTGAGTGGC